TTTTTTTTTGAGTTACAGTCATTTTACAATGTTGGTCAAATTCCAGTGTAGAGCACAATTTTTCAGTTATACATGAACATACATATTTTGATTGTCACATTTTTTTTTCGCTGTGAGCTACCACCAGATCTTGTCTCTTTTGAGTTAGGGAATTCCCTAAGCACAAGCAGAGGGATTCAATGCTGATTGGGCATGTGTGTGCACACACACCTGCACATTCACACACACCCAATGTCCACCCTTAAGTAACTTCAGGCTCATTAGCCGTCTATACTCAAAAACCAAGGAGCTACTAACTGGAATTTTTAAACCCTGGGGTTATGAGTAATCACTCCTTTACTAGAACTCAGATTGTTCCCAACAGCTGGGTTTTTCCTGTGGCTGAAATCTACCTCACGGAAGGGCAGAAACAAAGGAGGAAAGAAGAGGCTATTCTCTCAGAATTCCCTGACTGAGGCTCAGGATCTCACTGGAGAGGATGGCTGTGCCTTGGAGTCTTTCAGGCCATCCTTCAAACGATTTGATATATTTGATGTACATCTTACATCACCAGGCCCAGGGTTCGAGTGGGAAAGCAGAGAACCCCTCGGATTATTCCCCAGAGGCACTGTGGGTGAGCTGGAACTCTTTTTCCTCAGACTTGAAAAAATAAAACTGATACTTTAGAGGCTGGTTTCCCCGTGTTTCTTCTCTACTGTTTTCTTTTGACTGAGTAGGTCTGAATTCTACAGAACTCAGGAGGAACAGACCCATTCTCAGTTTTAAGGGACTGGGGTTCTGAAATTCAACTGGGCGTAGCCTTGAGCCTCTGCGACGCTTCCATATGCTGACCGAAAACCACTGATTATAGTAAGCGATTTCCCTTCTTCCAGATTTTGTTTCTACCACCTGGAAATCAGTAAAATACAGACAGTCCATCCAGGAAATTGCACTTTTGTCTTTGTGTTGCCTAGAGAGTTCAGAACATAGCAGAGGGTGGGAAGGAACAGACTGGGATTTCAAAATGTGTAGATACTGACAGGCATATGCAGAATAGATAAACAAGATTCTACTGTATAGCACAGGGAAATATATACAAGATCTTGTGGTAACTCACAACGAAAAATAATGTGGCAATGAATATGTGTATGTTCATGTATAACTGAAAAATTGTGCTCTACACTGGAAACTGACACAACCTTGTAAACTGACTATAACTCAATAAAAAAAAGTTAAAAAAAAAAAAGAGCATGGCAGTACAGCAAGACAAGTTTCATGACCTTGTGTCTCTACAGCTGTAGCTGTGAAACACTGAAGGTGGCTGATTTGATCTGATAAGCTATGAGGCTATCTTATCCTGAAGGGTGGGTAAGCTCTGTGCCCTCTTCACCAAAATGAGGAGCCATGCTCCACACAAAATAACTGTTTTTAAAGGACTGCTTAATTTTTGTCACTGCCAGGGTAATTGCCTTCCCTGAATTTCTCCAAATTCCCCTGGTGGAGCAAATCTAGACTGGGTTTCTCAGTTGCAGCCCTATTGAGATTTTGGTCTAGATAATTGTTTGACGTGGAGGCTGTTCTATGCATTGTGTGCTATTTGCAGCATCCGCAGCATCCCCAGCCTCTGCCCACTAGGTGCCAGTAGCACATCCTGTCCCCGGTCATGACAATTAAAGATGCCTCTAGATATCACCAGATATTCCTTGCTGGGCAAAATCTTCCCACTGATTGAGAGCCACTAAATTAAGAACTGCTGGTCTAGAGACATCCTGGCCCTTTAGTCATCTTTGTGTAGACTAAACATACATCTATATACCAGGAAGCAAATTTATCAAAAACCATACTTTGAAAATGGTCACCTAGTCACTTAAGCATGGCCCACATCTGCCAATATTACCAAGGTTATATAAATATTTGAGCTCCCTGAGTAGCTTTTAAAAAATACTGATGCCCATATATCTGGAGGGAACTCTAATTCAAAAAGATACACGCACCCCAATGTTCACAGCAGCACTATATACAATAGCCAAGACACGGACACAACCTAAATGTCCATCAACAGATGACTGGATTAAGAAGCTATTTCTATTTATATGGTATATTTATACAACGGAATACTACTCAGCCTCATAAAAGAATAAAATAATGCCATTTGCAGCAACACAATGGACCTAGAGATTGTCATTCTAAGTGAAGTAAGCCAGAAAGAGAAAGGAAAATACCATATGGTATTACTCATCTAAATATAAAAAAGGAGAAAAAGAGGACACTAATAAACTCATCTACAAAACAGAAACAGACGCATAGATATAGTAAACAATCTTATCATTACCAGGGGAGAGGGGGTGGCAAGGGATAAATTTGGGAGTTTGAGATTTGCAAATGTTAGCCACTATTTATAAAAATAAATTTAAAAAACAAATTTCTTTCGTATAGTGCAGGGAACTGTATTCAATATCTTGTAATAACCTTTAATGAAAAAGAATATGACAATGAATATATATATATATATATATTATATATATATACGTGACTGGGGCATTGTGCTGTACACCAGAAATTGATGCATTGTAACTGACTGTACTTCAATTAAAAAAATACTGATGCCCAAACCCGACCCCAAACCCAAATGAAATCTGGGTAGAAATCTATAGAAATACCGACTTAGAGGCTATGGTTATATCCAGAAAGGATTTTGCGCAAAGTTCCACACAGCAGCCACAAGAGGGAGATGTAGCAATATAGTCCACCCTACTCATGCATCCCCAGCACCACTTGCAACTGAAGGATGTGGACTTAGTCACAGAGTCGTTGAAACTGTGGCTGGATCCTCATCAGTTCACAGCCCTCACAAGCTGGGGGTAGAGCTGACCCCTCCCTTAGAGATAAGGAGGCCCAATGTAAATCGATGACAGACTCTAATCAAAGTTAACTACAATAAGTTTAATTCACAAAAGACTTCTACTCAATGCTTCATTTATTCAACAAATAGTTATTCAGTTCCTACTAAGTGTTAGAGGTTGTCATCCAGTGGGAGATACAAAGAACACAGGCAACTAAAATACTATGATAGGCAGACAACCACATGATCTACTGTGACCCCTAGAGAGTAAAAGGAGATGCTATTAATAATTATACCAGGGCGATAGCTGGGCAAACCAGAATGTGTAGTCACCCTAATGACAAAGTAAGGGATGTTCAGTAAGCACACAGAAGATGCACAAAACTCAAACTTCAAGAGT